ATTCTTTTCTTTTCTTCTTCCTATGAGGATTACTACATCTGGATAGATTTTAATAATTTTGAACTTCACTATCCTTTTCTTAAAAGTCAAAACTTCTTACCTTCCTTCACTTTATAAATTCATACTAGCTTTGAAGATTTTTCATTATGTCTCATTCTTTTCTTCTTACATGAAACTCTAAGAATCATAATACTTCAAAAATACAATTTCCTTTACTTTAAATAGAAAACATTCTTATTCTTCCATACAAAATATCCTATCTCTAGAATTAACCTTTATTATTAAATATTTTTTCTTAAATTTACCATAATATTCACAAAGAAAAATATAGTTATTTAAAGTTAAACTCTAATATCCAAGGTCATGTTAAATTAATTTTTAAAAATATAGTTAATTGAGGACAAATAAAATTTAGTTCACTTTTTTAAGAAAATTTTTCTTTCCCCCAAAACTTAAGTTTTTAAATAATAAGTAAAGCATGTAGTACAAAAAATTACAGGTGAAAGAAAACAGTAAATGCATAAAAATAAAACTAACCTGTGGAGAATTCTAAATATGAAACTTGCCTCTTGATATTTTGCAGGTGTTAACTTAAAAAGTATAGAGTTTAAAACATTAAATGAGACATAATATATCAAAGGATTTGCTAGGTAAAGATAAATTAATAACATAATAGTAAATTAAAGCAACTAACGATGCTGAAATAAAAAAAATAAAAGTCTACCATTTACTATTACATATATCAGTTCAACAGATCCACAAATTAAACACATAAATGTTTCATTCATACCACCAATAATAAAACAAATCAAATAACAACACATAAAAACAAACAAAATTTAAATAAAACTTTACTCTTCATCATCCTCCTCTTCCTCTTCTTCCTCATCTTCTTCTTATTCTTCTTCAGATCCTTCATGCACATAAGGCTTAAAGTTGGGGCATGTAGGAAATTCTATATTATGATCAGCCCTCAGAAATCTAACCACCGTTTCTTCATATGCAATATTGTGTTGGACTCTTTTATGCTTATATTCATCATTGTATGCATTTTTGGCTTCTATACTTTATATTCTATTATGCATTGCTATGAGATCTGATTATTGAATCATTAACTGCTCCATAATATTCTCAAGTGAAATAGAACCAGAAGTAGATAGTCCTGGAGCAAATGTGAAGGGTTTGTATCTACTTTCACTCATAGATCCAGCAAATGATTCAAATTTATGCACAGTGGGTTTTCAGATTGGTTTTAGTTTTTGTAACACTTCTTCATTTCTACCAAATTCTACTCCTGGTACTTCACATAGAGTAAAAATCAAGGAAGGATATCCTGAACCACTAGTTGTCCCACTCCTAGCAATGCTTTGAGCATTTTGCACAATAAGAGCACCTATATCAACTACTTGCATTTGTTGAATGTAGAAATTCAACACTGTTCTTTCCTTAGTTACTTTTCTCAGGTAATTTTTTGGAAGCAATTTTACAGAAATAAAGTAATGTTGTGCCTTAGATTTAACATTCAACATGGAGGTGGAGAAATTAACCTTGTGATTATTTTTAATTTTTCATTCTCCTCTTCCATCAGTCAGAAAGGCAATTACTTCATCAAGTGATGAATTTGTCATCACAAATACAGCATACTCACAATGAAATGCATTTCTTGGTCCATAAAATTTATTGATTCTTTGTCGAGTAAATTCAACTTGCTTACCTCGAATAAAGATGTGATCATTTGTTGTCACTTAAAGATTAGTGTAGAATTATCGAATCACCGGAACAACGGCTTCTGCAGCGAAGTAGCAGAAAGATTCCCACTTCCGAGAAATAACCAGCTTTTCTATCTCTCCTCCAGGCTTCGAAAATGCTCGCTCTTGAATCAATTTTCTCGAGCCCATTTTAGTATTATAGTTGTGTTGGGCCTTATAGTTGACAAATCTACTTGCATCAAAATCTCCTGTAGGTTTTCCCCTCTTCACTCATGGTTCCATAGGAATTTCAATGTAAATTCAAAATAAAATCAAAATAAAATCACAATATCAAAAATCTAACTCCAAACGTAGGAAGATTTTGTAAGAAGCTTTTTACCATGGATTCTCTTTAAACTTCCTCAAAAAAAATTTTTACATTTTCGGATTTCCAAAATGTAGGGTAAATCCATGATGAAAATAAAAAGTTTCTAAGTTAAATTAAAACTCTTATCAAGAGAAGATGAGAACCAAAACTTTTAAGATTTGAAATCTCCTCAAATCCACCAAATGTGAAGCCCTAGGTTGAGTTCTGGCCATGGTTTAGAGGTAGGAGATGATATAAGCAGTAAAAATGGGGTTTTACTGGTGATTTTTGCGATTTTAAAATGATTTGGGCATTTTCAAAAGCTGACGCCTCTGGCATCATTTCTTTGTAAAATGGAGCCTCAGTCACCAATCTGGCGTTTCAGGCGCAAACGTTAAAAATTTTTTATATTTTGATTTTCTTTGAAAATCTACTGTGTACCGAACCACGTCAACCTCTAAATAAATTAAATAAACACTTATACTCATAATTAAACAATTTTCCAAAACACAATTTCACAAACAACACAAAACTCATAGTTATATATAAAATCTGAACAATTACAAACTAATAGTTTTCAAGCCAACATATCTAATTCAGCATCAAAATCAGGCCAACAAACTAACGCTGAAGCCTAAATATTAAAAACTTAACAAAAAACATATAAATTTCTACAATAAAAGTAAATCAAATCCAGTACAAACACATAACAGCAAATATAACTACAAATTCCATACTAAATGAGTTCAAACATCTTCTTCACTATTGTTGACCTCACTTTTGGTTGAGGTCTAGAAAACTTCTTTAGTAGCCTAGGTCTAGCCATAGGACTTTCCTATTGACTAGTCTTAGAAAATTAGAAGAGGTACCCCACCATTAGAAATTCAAAACTCTTCGAATCCGTGACATCCTCTAGTATTTCCTCCTTTGGACTCCAAAATAAAATGTTCCAAATTTGAACCAATTCCCCTTCACACTTCTTAGTCCGATATCTTTGAGATGTCCTTACCATTTGAATTCCTTGAAGATAATTTTTCCTTGATTTCTATCGAGAGTATTCTTAGGTAACTTCAGTTATCTAAGATGTAATTAACTATAGGGGCTTGCCCTTATAGGAAGCTTTTCCCGAACCTAGCATAATATAAACCCTATTTAATTCCTTATATTAAATAGGGGAATTTGTCGGCCAATATATTGGTTCCGCAGATCAAACAAATGTCATGACTTTCTCTAGTTTATTTGATCGAGCCTCACCCTCAATTCTTGTATTCATCCATTGGGATAGATACAGAATTTGAGGTAAAGTGCTCTTCCATTTAAACTATGAAAATTATGGGGTCAGTTTGACTTCATCTTTTTCAAAACTAAATTTTTTTTAACGTCCTTCCGAAGCAGGCAACGGGATTTCAATGCCGATGACCGACAGCTTCTTACGGGCAAACTCCACACCAAAAATAGTGCCGACAATACACAGCACCCGAAACATTGCTATTAACAAATTTAGCACCATCTTTTATCCATTTTTCAAATTCTCATTCGAATATGCAAATTCATGATAAAATCCCAACCCATATTCAAAACATACACAACACCGAAAATATTGTTATTAACAAATTCAATACCAACTTTCATCCAATTTTCAAATTCCCACTCAAATATCAAAATTAATGTTAAAATCCTTACCCATATTTTTCATTAACAAATTCAACACCATAAACCAAATAGGGCAAAGCCACTAAGAAATAATGTTTCGAGAGCTATATAATTAATTACCAAAAACAAAAAAGAAAGTGCAAACCACAAACCATAGAGAACAAAGATATCGAGAAGCACTGCTTATGGTGCTAGGTATGTAATTATCCCAATAAAACAAAAACGAATAGATCAAATCCACAAACCGAACATACCAAAGCCACCAGGCACCCTCAACATTGCTAACAACAAAATAAACACCCTATTTCACCCGTTTCCCAAAATCTCACACAAACATCAAAGATAAAGACAAAACACAATTCCAGATTTTTAGCACCCTATTTCATCTATTTCTCATATTTTGATTCAAATATCAAAATTCTTGTCATAATTAAAGCCAACATAAAAAATGCACAAACCGAACAGATAAAAACCCAACTAAAATCATAAAGCACAAAGCTTCAAAATCATAAACCAAATCCATCATGGATGCAACTTGAAGCATCAAGATCATCAAATGAGACATATTAAAGCGAAAACCACCAAACTGAGTAAACAGAGAAATCAGGGAGAGGAAACCAACAACCAAACTGAGAATCATTACACAGTAGCATTTACATAATCATAAAGCCACATAATAGATAAGACAAATATTACCAGAACAATGGGAGAGGTAGGAGAAGGACTACCACACAGAGCCCATAATGCACACAATCACCAAACCGAGCCGAAGAAGAAAAGCGATAGAGAAAGAGATAATAAAAATCTCACCACAATAACCACTGACCGAAGAAAGGGAACCACCGCACAGAGCATAGAGTGCACAAAACTACATAATCGAGCGAAAGAAAAGAGTAGAGAGGGAGACTTATGTAAGGGTCACTGGAACAACCACTCACAACCAACAAAAGGAAATCAGAAACAACGCTTAGCCACAACTCTAAGAGTGGGGTAGCTAGGGTAGAAAAAATGCGAGAGAGGGAGAGACAGGGTCGAGAGACGCAGAAGAAATGCGAGAGAGAGAGCCGGGGGGTCGTGGGGTAAAATGCACTTGAAAAAATACGGGCCGCAATGTCAAACACGCGACCGCTGTTTACATAGATTATATACGTAAGTCCGCTACTTCCAAACATCCAAAGTTGCATTTTCAAAATTCATTGCGCAAAATAAATGCCCAGGCCTTCCATTATTAGTTCTGAATGAGAGTCGAAACCTGATGTGGATGAGGAGTGACAGCGAAATGTATTTGTTCACAATCGAAAATCCATTCGTTAGTTCTGAGTTAATGCCCTAAACATTCGAAAATCGATTTGTTAAAAAAATCGGCGCACCTGCATCAAAGCATCCTAAAATGCATTTGTTGTGGCGTGTGAGAACCGATGCAGTTTCTTCGTAATTTTTAATCCAAGCCCTTCCATACCCCGGCATTTGGCGAGATGCTTCAAACTAGTCGCTCTTCCTGTCTTGCTATAAAAGCTCAGCGTACCATCATCATTGTTCACAATCGGATAAAAACAAAGACGGAGAGTTCTAATGCCAGGGTTTCGAGCACCAGAAAGTCTCCCCTTGATCATGGTCACGGCGCTGCTTGCGACCGTGGCATCAATTGTCGTCGGCGGTGGATTTTTCGAGCCCTTCAACGTCACCTATGATCACAGGGCGCTTATCATCGGCGGCAAGCGACGGATGCTCATCTCCGCTGGATTTCACTACCCGCGGGCGACTCCCGAGGTGTATTTTTTCATTCCCCCGTTCTTTATTGGCTTCATTTGTCTTGCAACGACAAGTCTTGAAGTTCTAGTGCTGGCTTGAATCGGCTCGAGTGCTAGTTTTCTTATGAACAAGTTACCCATTTGTTGACATAAAGTGGTCTGGGATGAGTTTTAAGTGAAACAGAGCTATAGGGAAGGAAGGGGGAGTAGTGTTGGATGCATTTTAGAGCTAATTTAGTATTTCATGATCTATGCATGTATGTTTATATATATGGTAATATATTGTTGTTGGATTCAAATCTTTCTGTGGGTGAGATCAGGATCTGTCCGAGCCTAAATAGGAAAAAGAGTGGTCTTGAGAGAAAAGCTTTCAGAATCTTATTAGATTTCAGCGTCAGAAATTACAAGATTGGTGCGACATGTGCAGGCGTTGAACTCATACTCCAACTGCCTATATATGGGTTCATATCAATGTTCGAATCTACAAGATTGATTTCAATTAAGAAATTTAATAAAGTTAATGTTTGATGCTACAAAATTGATTACATATAAGAAATATACAAAAGTTTACTTAAAAAGCTTAATAAAATGTGCTGTTAAGTGGATCAATATAACCAGTTTTCAATTGCCTAAGATTTGGGCTAATTTTATCAAGTTTTTTGTTAATCGAGTTCTTAAATTGTTGAATTCTCTGGGATGGATTTCTTCTAGAGTTCTTTTAACTGATAGGCAAGTATCCTCAACTGATAGGCAACTTTAGTTAAATGAGCTAGTGAATAGTCTTATCTAGTTGTGGGCATAAGTTTGTCGAATTCTAAAGGCGATTATAAGTTTTTGCTTGGGGACTTTGATTAATTGCAACTTTGGACTGCTTGTAATTTTGTGCTCCTTCAATATGGCTTTGGATGAGTTCACCTTTAGTGAAATACAAACTCATTTGAATGCTAGGAACTTTTTTAACTCGATGCTGATGTATATTTACTTGATTAACCTGATGTAGGCTATTATGGTTGTTAAATAGTTCCTTGATTCTCATCCCATTTAAAAAGTTGAAAATAATAAGCGAATAAATTCTTTTATAATTTTACTCGGGTGAGCTTCAAAATATATCTCATTAGCATATATTGCCTCCACCTTAGTTGAGGAGGCCATGATTCTTCTTACAAAATTTGAGAATGCAATTGTTGAATTTGTTATGAGCAAGCTTTTGGGTACAACTCAAGAGACTAGAACAATTTCTATGCATGATCATGAATGTATGTGACGCAAGAGCTTGGGCATGGTACTATAACAACTACAATACCGCAGACCAATTTCCTATTTGATCCCTTACTTTTTATATTTTCTTCATATTCTAACTACTAATACTTTTTATAAATATGTTGCTTGCTTTCTTAGGGTTAGGTTTTGGTGTGTTTAATTTCAGATTTCTATCTGGACAGCCGCCGACATCCGTTTTTCCCTTCGTGGGCTGTATCCTAAGGGTTAGGTGGTGCTCCGGATGTATCTCTCTACCAAGGTGGTGATTATCTTTCTTCTAACCCCTTCCGCATCTCCCACATCGCTACCAGCCACCGTACCTCGCCGCAACCCCCCGCAACAACATCCTGATTGCTGTTTTCCGCAGTTCCAATTGCCTCCGTTGTCCTCACAGCCCTCTCTGTCTTGACCCTCTACCTTCGTTGTCGCAGCACACAACACCTTTCATTTGCTGTTTTCTTGCTGTCTAGCTGCCCCAAGCAAAAATCTGCTGCTGTTTGGATTGTCATATCGTGCTGTCTTGCTGTTCCAACTGCCTATAACTGCTGCCACCCGTCATCCACAGTTCGAAAGCCCATTCCCTACCTTGCCACCAGCTCTCCGAGCCCCCTAACTGTCACCATCCTCACCGGATCCGCCCTAACACGAGTTTTGTTGTTTGTGTTGTATTTTCCCTTTCAAGTGCATTGATTGTAACTGTTTATTTGCTTCTAGTAATAATATTTGCTTTTCGTAATATGGTTTGTGTTAACTTTGATGCCATTTGGTATCAGTGTTAGCCTAACTCTAGTCCCATCTTAGGATTTCTTAGCATCCGTCTCTACCCAAGTTACCTCCACCAAAATTTCTCTTTCCTATGCCCAAACCCGAGCCAAATTTTGAGTAACTCTAATTTCTCCTTGCTGATTTTCAAGATCAACTTTAAATTAGTTTTCCTACATCTTCAACGAGTCTTCTACACCCTCTTTCACCTCCGAACTCTAAACCTTAGCCATGCAATTAAGGAGGTACATGTCAGAGCCTACCTGAGAGGAGATATAGCGTGAGATTTACTGAATTTAGCTGAGGCTTGTGGATATTGAGGATGAAATTCAGGGGGAGATTACCTTCGACCGGGATTTGGATTATCGAAAGGGAGCAAGAGACGAGGATCTGAATCCCTTTCATAGGGAGTGGACTTTACTGATGAAAAAGACCGGCCGCGACACTTTGAAATCCAGTATCAGAGGAGGCCAAGAGAAGAGCTAGCATATGGAGAAGGAGAGAATATGAAAATGAAGCACGAGATCCAACATCAGTTCCTACCAGCTTACTATAGATAGAAGATCTAGGCTCTAGCATCAGAAGATGAAAGACCACATAGCACGTCTTGCGGCGCTCAAACTTAGAATATTATAGCCATATTACACCTAGAAGAATATCCAAGTTGACCAAGACAGGGGAAAAGCCGAGTCATAGTGGAAAAATTGTGGAACCAATCCACGTCCCTAAACTTGTCCCAATCAGGAAGTGTTGTGTCACAGATTTAAGTATGTTGAATCAGACCGTCCAACTAAGGGGGTGATCTATTTTATAGAGCAGGACATTTTTAAGAAATTGGGTAATTATAAAGTAGAAACTGAAGACGGTGAGGACATAAAGCGGGAGGATCAACTTCCAGTTGAAGAGATAAACAATGATCCAGAAGAAAATGCAGACTTCAAAGAGGGTTCTCAATTCTCATCCAACAAGGAAGAGACCCCATTGATTCCAGTTGCTTCCTAGATAGCGATTCCAGTTGAGGTAACAATAGTTGTTCTAAAAGGTAGTGAATGTAATGTAATGGGCATTCCGATAGAGTGCCAGATAATGGTGCCTCGAGCGAGCATTTCATAGGCTTTAAGGGAAGCATCAACAGGACTGGCCTTGAATGTCCAATGGGGCCATGAGTTTGGGGAGCCGTTATCAGACACATGATATCCCCAGATAAGAGAAATTCAGATCTTTCAGATCTATCGACTCATCATTGAGTTGCCTCTTTTAAGGGAGGTTTCGCTTGTCAGAGATGTGACTTTTTTGTGCCACGTCGGGAAGATTACATGAAGTTATTTAGATTTTAGGCTACCTTTATGGGAGCTTCGCCATTTAACGAAGCTCCTTTAAATGTGACAATGGCAAAGCTCCTTTAAACGTGACTTTATGGACTGCAAGTCGGTATCTTCTTTTTTATAACGGTGAAAAAATGTCATTTTTTTAAAAGAGCATCGGCTAACACTCGCGAAATAATTTTTCACCAAACCATATGTTGTGGTTTATTGCCTTTTCGTTCGATGCAAAGGAGCTAGGATTGCGCTCCAAATGAAGCCTTAGATTTAGTTCAACATGGTACTCTATCAGATATCTTGACAGGAGAGATCATGAAAATTTGTCTTAGGAGCTTGATGGTAAGGAATTCTTCAGTGGGATTCATGTCCTATCAGTGAATAAGAAAAGTGCTCTCCCGAGTGGTAGCTACTGAGAGTGGTGCAGTCTAGCACGGATTTCACCCCAGAGTTGACTTCTCCTTACATATTGGTTTCTCAGCTACATTCCTTCAGTACGAGAACTAGAAGAAGAAGGTTTCGATTCAAGAGCTCAAGAGTTATATTGCGGGAACCTACATATATATGCAGCTTCATCTTATGATGTGCCAAGAGAGGATACATATTTATTCTATTAAGACGTGCTATGAAAAGACCACCTACATGATCGACCTCCTCGGAAATTGCAATATCTCTGCTACCATCAACGTGCCAGACTTGACTCGGTGTTACAAGGAACTTGTGCTTTGACGAATGAAGTCGAAGCTCCTTCAACCTCTGGAGATTGATGCAGGAACATGGGTGCAGTACTATAGCAACTACAAAACCGCGGGCCAATTTCCTATTTGATCCCTTGCTTTTTATATTTCCTTCATATTCTAATTCTTTTTCTATTCTAAATACTAGTACTTATTATAAATATAGTGTTTGCTGTCTTAGGGTTAGGTTTTAGTGAGTTTATTTCAGATTTCTGTCTGGACAACCGCCAACGTCTGTTTTCCTCTTCGAGGCTTGTATCCGAGGGATTGGGTAGTGATCCAGTTGTATCTCTCTCGCGAGGTGGTGATTATCTTTCTTCTATCCCCTTTCACATCTCCCACATCACTCCTTGTCGTCGTACCTTACTGCAGCTGCACAGAACTACTTTCCGATTGCTGTTTTCTGAGTTTCAGCAGCCCCCATTGCCTTCTCTTCTCTCATCCTCACCGCCCTCGCTGTCCCAACCCTCCACCTTTGCTGCTGCAGCGCGCAATTCCTTCCCTTTGCTGTTTCCCTGTTGTTCAGCCGTCCCAAACAACAACCTGCTGCTGTTTTCCAGATGCCCATAATCGCTGTCACTCCTCATCCATAGTTGGGAAACCACTTCCCTACCTTGCCGCCCCTATCCGTGCCCCCTAACCGTCATCCCTACCCTGGATCCGTCCTAACGCAAGTTGTGTTGTATTTCCGTTTTCAAGTGTGTTGATTGTAACCGTCTTTTTTCTTCCGGTAATAATATTTGCTTTTCCTAATGTGATTTGGGTTAACTTTGGTATCGGTATGTATTATGAGTGCTTGCCTTTATAGTCCCATTCCATTATCGTTCTTTCCCTTGACTAAATGCTTTAGTGATTCTAAGATTAGTCATCGTTGTGAATTTGCTAGCACTTGAGCAAACTATTGATTACCTTATTTCTAAGAATCTTGTTCTGGATGTGGA